TACCGTCGTCGAGAACACGACCAGCTGGCTGTTCGAGCGCAACGAGATCGAGGGAAGCAAGAAGATCATTGTAGCCCCCGGAACGGGAGTCAAGGGTGAGGGTACCCCCGAAGTACAGGAAATCTGGGGTGTCGAGGTCGGGCTCAGCTTGGGATCCGGCAAGGTCAAGACTCTCGAGCATAGACCAACTTTGCACCGCCGTACCACAACTACATATATCCTCAAGAGACCCAGCTCCAGACAGACTCTGTCCGAGATTGTCAAGAAGTTTGGAACTTTCCCCTTCAGCTTGCGCCAGCTGGATGACGAGCGGGCCGGCAAGGTCGGCGTCGTCGAGTGTGTGCGAGGTGGCGTCGTGCGTCAGTACGAGCCAGCCGGAGAGGCAGACGGTTCTCCAGTCTCGAGACTTTTGACAACAGTTGGTATGTTATACTTGTATCTAATATCTGCATTCTTTATATGCTAACACAAGGACAGCCATTTTGAAAAATGGACTGAGCAGACTGGCTGCTCCACCGCCACTTGACCTGGAGAAGGTCCAGTCAGACAAGAAGATCACTGATGAAGAAGTGCTGGCCATCCTGGAGCGTCCACTGGCCAAGTCCACGGGATCCAAGGGCAAGAAGAATAAGAAGAAGAAGAAGAAGCCGGCCAAGAAGCCTGTCGAGGAGGAAGATGATGACGAGGAAGAAGATTCCGACGAGGAGTAGACTGTCTCTCTCTCTCTCTCTCTCTCCTTGTCTTCCTGTCTTCTTCTGCCATTTCTATCATTTCCTTCATCAGGTCTACATGAAGTGCATGCAAAGGCGTCTACTTTCACCCTCCCCCCCCCCCCCCCTTTTTTTTTTACCTACCCTCTCTACCTTCTATCCTCTACCTGTCAGGCGCAAATTACCTGCTTACCTTCTGATATCAAACCAAACTCCTCTTTGACAGCCTGCCTGTCCTTGAACGAGGTTCCCCCTTTTCTGCTCCCCTCAGGCCTTGTCCACGGAGAGAGCCCTATGTTT